AAAAATATATTTTATTACCTGTGGCTTTTGATTTTTAAAAAAGACAATTTTTGAGCTAGAGTGCTCATCTTCGAACTCGATCTGTCTTTTTATGATACAAAACGACCCTAAAAATCCCAGGTCGCTCTCTCAATTCTTGCTCGAGTTATCGTGCGGACAGACAGACAGACAGACAAACAGACAAACATACAAACAGAATCAAACTTTTCCGGTCAGTGGAGTAATGGGCTTCGCTAATCGCTCAGCCAACAATTTCGCAGCTCTGATATTTTCAGGTAATCCTGCAAGACCGGTTCAACCTGCCGCTCTCAGCCCCGAAAGGCAGCAGGAGAGAGAGAATTTGAGGGGATGGCGCTGCTCACCCTCCCTTGCTTGAAGGAGCCAGAGGAGCAGGCTACGGATAAGTGGGTAAGTTTCTATGAGTAGTTGGGGTGGGGTAATCTATTTATATGCAAAAATATAATTTTTGGACTTTAAACCCCCCTTCGATGAATTCCTACTCACGTAATTTAGAACATCAGCAAAGTGTGTCATTTGTCTTTTTTTATACAGGTTTGTGTTGGCAAAGGGGTGTGGATGGAGAAGGTGGCCCTTCATGCAATATATCGGACGCACAGAAAGAATCCTGTCAAAATGTTCAAGGCTCTGCTAACCGATCTTGTTGGGCGAAGAAATGGTAAAAAGTGGGCTACGCAATGTATCTCGGAGAAATTCGGCCCTTCGAGTACTGGCAGCAGTACTTAGTAAGTAATGGTATAATTTTTTAAAACTGAAATTTGAGAACAGTTCTTGTAACTAATGCAACATATTTTTCGTGCTCAGGCTACACATCTTTGAGCAGTAAGGGCAAAGAAATTGGTGTGTGGGGAAAACTCTCTCAAATTTACCCTGGAAAAAGGGCCCAGCAGCCAATTGTATGTATGTGCATGCAGACCAACCGGACCACCAACTTCAGAACCAGCAAGAGTTTGTCGGCCTACCGGGGGCGTGTGGCCGCGATGCCGCTCCTGGCGTTTTGGATGATGTGACCGAAGCTTAGGGTCGGGGTGGGGGCGTTGGTTACCTCGCCCAAATACGTTTACTTTCTTCTAATATTTGTTTTTATTGCAGGGACGAAGACCAACTTGGATAAAATAAAAGTTTCCCGAGACGGGGAGATTCTGGATGAAAACGCCGGACCCGGCGCTCTCTGCGTGACAACGAGGGCAAATAATTCGAAGACGGGCAACAGTAAAATGTCGAGGGACAGGTGTTGGGCATAGCAAGAACCACTCAGGTAAGCAAAATTGAAAACGAACGACTTGAAGAGAATCATTGGAAGACGAGTGTTGGCCAGGACAAGTAGAAGGGCAAATAATTCGAAGACGGGCAACAGTAAAATGGTGAGGTTAAAATAGTACTTAAAACCAATCATTAGAAGACAGGGGTGGGGCGAAACGAATGGAAGGGAAAGTAATTCGAAGACGAGCAGGACGACCAGCAGTAGAATGGTGAGGTCACAAAAACAATTGACCCAGCCTCCCGTCTGCCTCATGGACAGGCAGCGTGTTAGCCTCGCACCAGCCCCAAGACAACTCGCACGTCGACAGGAATGACCACGGACTTTCGACGGCACTCTGGCTCGTTTTTGGGTAGGACGACAAGCAGAAGGCATTTAGAAAGAAGTCTGAAAACTTTAATTCAAGCAACGTTAGAGGGAGAATAATATTTTTAAAAAACCCAGCCGGCGCGATCGATGCCAGGACTGGCCGTAAACGTAAGTTATTCTGTCGTGTTCAAAGTGCATCTGAGGGTTATCGGCGACGCATATTTATTTAATTTACCGGCAGACCGAATTCGAGCGCCAATAATTTGATAGTGTTCCTGATTCTACTCAAAAAGCCCTTTCCAATGGTATACTTGAGTGACTCATCGGCTCTGAGTCACTGTTCTATACTTTTACCGTCCTTGTCCCATGTTAGTGTAAATATTCTATTCTAATTTTCTAGTTGTTTTTTTTTTCATCATACAATAATACTAGCTATATGTACGCCAGACCACGTCTCGCGTAACAGGCTTCGCGATATCTCACGAAACACTGTTACGCTGCGACGCGCCTGGCGCACATATAGCTAGGCCTGCGGCGCTGACACCCGAGACGAGCAAATGGGAGGGTATAGGAAAACAGGGCCATCCGGGCCCAAAATTTGAGATACTGAACCATTTGTAGAGGTCTCATTACTCTAAAATTAGGGATATGAAACTTCTGCTGATCGGTAAAGGTTTTCATTAAAAGTTCGAATTTTGTCAGATTGTTATGTTAAATTCAACGTTTTAGTGATACTACATAATGTAGGGTCCCTTAAGCCCAATAGAGGGAATGGTTCGACCCTCAATGTGTGGTTGAAGTATTACTCCCTTTACAATTCTGTGACATGAAGCCTTTTATACGATTTAATTGACCATTTCGTCTTTTTCACATTGTTTTCGCCAAGAAATGCCCCATAGCGCCGAAACGGTACAAGATAGAGCAAAACGGACGAAATTTTCGCCCAAAGGGTTCT